AAAATTTCCTTTTTTCAAAAGATCGAGTGCTTATGGAGAGCTCTAACTCATAGCCCATGTTTGGTGTAGCTTAAAAATTCAATAAAAAATTAAATTAACAAATAACAATTAATTTGTAACCACACATTTCTTAAAATTCGCAATTTTTCCACTATGCATATCGAGTTATCGACTTTTATCAAAATATATTCATTCTTAATTTTATTTGAATATGAACAATTTTGTACTAGTATAGTTCACAATCACGACATATAGTCCAAAAAGAAAGGGAAATTTAAGGGGTTGGGAAGGTGCAGCATTGCTGGCTTCATAATTCCCAAGACTTTGGGAAATGAAACGAGGTTCCTTCTTTTGGAGCTTCCATGATATGGTGCAACTTGAATTGTTCGCAAATTATTTAATGAATTTATTGGAATTGTTCTCCAGAGCCCACGGTGTGCAGAAAAAGACTGCCCCATCTGTTGATGTGGCAGGAGAATCCAACGTTGGGTTCTCTCCAAGTGAGCATAATAAGACTTTCCACGTAGACAGAAGAACATGTCTGATGAATTTATTGTCTGATTGTGTATTAAAAAACTGCATCATTGATATTAAAATATCGATGTAAATGATATTCCCTCCATCCCAATTATATAGGTTGAGTTTCTTTTTTCTCTTGTCCTAAATATATAGGCATGTTTCCAAATGTAGAATATTTTGTTGTGTTCATTTACCAATATACCTTTATTAAATTTTTCATACTTAATATGCCAATTTTTTGAAATCATCGAAATACACACATTTTCACTTCTTGGAAACATGGAACAACTCTAATTTCTTCTTTTTCAAATTCTTTATTAGTTCCAACAATAATTTAATTTTACATATTGAAAATAAAATAGGGGTAGACTAAAAATTATCTTGGCAAAAATTAATTCTCCAATGATATTAAAGAAATTTTCTTAATCCGTGTGAAAAGAAAAAAAAATCTATATAATTGGGACGGAGGGAGTAGTAAATGTCATTAAATGAAAGGTATAATTAAATAAATCACACAATTTCACCTTCAATCGAACATATCACATAATGTCAAATAAATTTGTGCTGTAAGACCACTTATATTAGATAACATTATTTATTTGAAAAATAAGCAAGGCAAAGTTTAACATTGAGGAATGTTATTCAGCACTACTGGTGTTAATACCAGTTTAAGTGACAACATTAGTAGCATTAAATTACGATTTTAATTAAATACAAGAATTATGGCTCATTTAGTAGGATATATGATATACTGACACCTAAATTGATATTCAACATTATTACCGTTAGATAACATTATTCTTCAAAATAAATGATACTTAACACTCATTTAAATGAAAGTAATAGTCCACTTTTTACTGTCAAATGAATTCTTTAAAAAGTTTAAAACTTCTTTGTAATACTATTTCCTGGAAGTGATGATAATTACCAGTTTAAATTGCAGCGAATCTCTAATTCATTATCATTAAGGTGTAATTACCAGAGATATCATTGAAACAAGAATGATTTGTGCCGTATGTCGACGGTTCGGTCCCTTTTGGCCAATATAGAGTTTGATTAGATAGCCTACACCATCAGTCGTGGTAGTAGGCAAGTTCGCTACCACCATTGCCACCACCTTATTTCATCAATCACAAAAGGCCGAGGTCACCACTTCTCGCCTTTCATGCTAGTTTGCTTAACTCGACTTGACTAGGGTGGCACATCTTTCGCTATTCACTTATAATATGAATTTGGGACAAGATGGTTCTTCCTAAGAGGTCGAAATCACCACTTCATGCCTTTCATGCTAGTTCCTTGACAAAGCCTCACGAAGCAGAACTAATGAATACAAACAGTTAGGGAATGCCTAAACTATTGGATCCAGTTGGCTCACCCATGTGGAGCCAAAGATAGGGTTGTTCTGAACTGCCAGCACATACGAATGAGACTAACTATGAGGTTGACCTTAATGGGATTTTTTGCAGTGTCATTAAGGTGTAATTTGCGAAGGCATCAAAGTGTAATTTGTCCACTATGATGGCGATTGACCAATGTGGAGTTTGATTAGATAGCCGACTCAGTCGCCTACGTTGTAGGCAATCATTGCGACACAATCGTCGCCTTATTCCACCAATCATAGAAGGTTTAGGTTATCGCTGCACTCCTCTCAATGAAAGGTTATTGTAGCTTGACATGACTAAAATGACACATTCTCAACATTTACCTATAAAAGGGGATGGAAACTCCCGTTTGGGACGAGGATTGGATATTCTGTTTAGCACTAATGGGGCTACAATCAATTAAATGCATAATTATGTCATTTATTTAATAGCGGCTCTCATTTAATGTTGCTTAGTGTCATCTTATAACACTACTGGTATTAAATAGTATTGCTCAAAATATTTGATCCGAATCATTCCCGCGACTCTTTTAAAATACTAAAACATCTCATTTAAAATGATAAGAGCGTCTCCATTGCATTTTGTGGATTGTTGGCACACAAATTCAAGAAGTGCAGTTTACATGATATTGATATGTAATGAATGAAGAGTTTTCAGTATTTTCTATCTACAATTCAAACAGAGTTCGTGATAATGTCTATTACATTTTACACCTCCAACTCGACGATGTATTGAAGATGAATTTATTATTAAATATTATCTATTTTACTAGCATGACAACTTTAAAGAGATGCTCTAAATTATATTATCAATATAAACTAAATGATAGATAAGAAGTATAATAGGGGTGGTAGAAATACACATCACAAAATGGTAGTTAAGTGGACACTCAACTTTTGGACTTTTCAATCAATTAATTGAGCATGTTTTACATTAATGGTCCGTTTAATAAGCAAAAGTAGAAAGGAATTTCAATTCCATGTTAGTTGGAAAATAAAAATCCACCAAATCCATAAGAATTCATTTTCCATGAAAATGAAGAAAATGCAACTTAAAGTGTTTATACCTTAGAATTCGGATTCAATTTCCACGTTGCAATCAAACGGCTAAAGTTGAATTCGTTTTTCTCGGATGTAATATTTTTCATGGAAAATATGGCAATCAAGCAGGGCTTAACTTCTTGATTGAAAATAGGACAAATTATTTGTTTTGATTTGACAATTACCCTTGGACAAAACAACAATAATTAATTTCCAACGTTATCACACAAAAACAATTATGATCCAACCAATATTATCGCACAATTACAAATTTCAACCTAACTATAATTGATATGTCAATTGATTTGTTCATCTAATTGAATCTAACCTCCCCATAATGTTAATAATGCATGTTGACTTGGAGAAAAGTTGTCGAAAAAAGTCGATAGAAAAATTGTGCTCGACTTGTTGGAATGTGCCTAATTATCTTGACTTCACATCCACCTTAATTTCTCGATACAATAATTAATTCCTTCACAAATTTTGTATAGTGAACTAATTAATTTAAAAATGGGTTCTCGATTAATTTCGTCGTCGTGTTCTTATTGCTAAAGTATCGAAATCAGGCATGACTCGTGCGATTGACCATTTGCGAGGTACAAGGATTCAACCATTTGAACTTTTGCTGATTAATCCAACGTTAATGATTCATATGATGGCGAGATCGAGATAGATATGTTAACCGTTAACACTATCATCTTTATCTTTGATTTTCTTCGTTAAATCTTGATCGATATAGACGTTTTATTTTTACCAAGAATACGTGTTTAAGAAATTAATTAGTATGGCTACCGTAATTATCTCCACAAACATGGAGTAAACTGCATAATTATTAATTAAATCTAAAATAAAACCCCAAAAAAATAAAAAAAAAATAAAATCAGTGACAGGGTTTGACTCAACAACCAATAAAGTAATTAAAAAAGTCAAAATTAAAAACAACTTTAATTGTGATAATAAAGCTGTAACGCGTTTTCGGAGAGTTATCCTTTTTATGTGAATCCGTAGAATTTATTTCTAGATTTTACCAACAATTGCTTAGAATCCGTTCCAAATTCTAACTTCTATGTTTAATGATGTAATCCCTTTTGATTTTTACTAGAAATCGTATTTCAGTAGATTTTGATAAATTTTAATTTGATATCTTTACCAATTTGACAACGCGTAATTAAGATATTCTGCACCATCGTACAAAGCTTACGAGACGTCTAAATCTAATTCATACGCTTGTCTAATTTGACGTGGGTCTAACAGGAATCTGCATATATTTGTAGTCGGACTAACATTAACAGAGATCACTATAGAGGGTGTTTGGCACTGATTAAAATTAGTTTTTTAGTAGATTTTGATATAAGTTTTTGAAACGTGTGATTGAAAATCGTAGGACCCATGAAAGATGTGATTAATATTAATTGTTTGATTTTTACTTGAATTAAAATCAGATTTTAATCGGACCAAACAGGTGCTTAATGACCTTTATAAGATTGGACGAAATTAAACGAGATAATAAACAAATATTTAGTTCTTAATTTTTTTCCACAAGTAAAGTAACCAAAATTATAAGGTCAACTCGTTTCTAGAATAAGAATAAAAGGCAAATAAATATATATATACGGCAATTGCGGGTCACCTAGACACTATAATTAAAAAGAATGGCAAGAAAATCTCGAATTTGCCTATTTTTCTGCATTTACATATGACCAAGAACTGAAGTAAATAAATAAATAAATCTATGATTCTCTCTCTTAAAGAAAAATTCAAAATATATTTTGAAAAATAGAAACTTATTTATTAGAACCTCAAACTTCTCACTTGCTATTAAATTTCTCATTCAAAATCTCTGACCCTATCCCTATTTACGTTCTCTGCATGCTTGGAATTTGTATATATCTTACCTTCTTCAGTTACTCGGTTATTTTCAATATATAAATCCAAAAGACTCTTTAAATAATAGTATGTAACCAATCTTTGATTCTTCTGCTGAGTTTTCTTTGGAAAAAGGGTTTTCGAAGGAAGAAAGAAAGAAAGAGATTTGGTTTGTTCTTGAAGTTAGTGATCAATGGCGATTCAATTGCAGTTGTATTCGGGAAATCTTGAATTTCCTTTAAACGGCGATCAAGATTTTATGGAGAATTCTTGTGGATCGAATCAATTCTTTTTGAATACTCAACAACAACAATTCATGCAGTTGCAAAATTTATCCCAGAAAAATCAGAATTTTTTGCTTGACAGTTCTTTTTCTGGTAGTCTTGTCAACGAGATTGAGAAACAGAGGCTGGAGATTGATCAGTTTGTAACTTTACAGGTTTGTTTTTTAATCCATGTAGTCAAATTTTTTGGAATCTTTAAGCATCAGATTGTACCGATTTTTTTTTGGAACAGAATCGCAGATTGAGATTGGATTTGCAAGAGCTGAGAAAGCAACAAATGTCTTATTTCTTGAAAAAATCTGAATTAAATATGCAATTTTTACTCAAACAAAAGGATGAAGAAATCGCGAGAGCGGTGAACAGAGCAATGGAGCTTGAAAATTTTGTGAAAAGAATGGTGATTGAGAATCAAATGTGGCAAAGAGTAGCCAAGGATAACGAAGCAATGGTCATGTCATTGAAGAATACAATTGAACATCTGAGAGAGAGTCCTAACGTGGCTGAAGATGCAGAATCACGCTGCGACATAATTGAATACGTAGAAGAAAACGGAGAACAGAAAATGAGTAATATGGTTTGTCAAAGCTGCAATTCTCGTAATTCTAGTGTAATTATACTGCCCTGTAGGCACCTTTGTTCATGCAAAGATTGTGACTCTTTTCTCAAATCTTGCCCTGTCTGTAAAACGGCGAAGAAAGCTAGCATAGAGGCAATGTTTTGATCTTTTTCATTAATTCTTGGCCATTATAGATTGGTTTTCAACTTTTCCTGGCTACCCTCGAGTAGATGTGTCACTGTTCCTTCCATGCCAGCCTCGTTCATATTTGGTTGGTTAATTGCCATGAAACCTAGTTGTAGAAAACCACAACTTCGCAACAAAGTAATTGGATTGAAGATGATATACTGGCTCATCAAAAGGCCTTGTCGATTTTGGGTCATGCTATATTGTGTCGATTTTACGAATGCTAGCAATTTAATGTAACCTAGTTAACCTTTATCTTATGTAGCCCAACACCAGATGCATATACAAATATTTAATGCAAATTAGATGATTGAAATCGAATCTCTCGTCTCTACATAGCTATTTCATATATCTTCTTAGGATTCATAGTTCCGTAAAATATTTTAGCAATGCATTCCCCAATATACAGCGAGAAAAAACCCAGGATAGATTTTGAAGCTGCTGCAACCGTTTCGATACCTATGTACCCATGACCCTCTCACTGCAACATCTACATTCAGTTTCAGGCAATTGGTGGGGGATGGATGCCGTCTCCTGTTCTCGCCTAATGAGGAACTGTTACTCTCCCATCTGCAAACACAAATTGATCTGGCATGCTGATATTGCGCGTTGTAAGCGTTAGCATCATCCCAAATTCTCCCTGGTTTGTGGTGAGTTTTATCGAAAACAGCAGAGTTTCGTTCTTGCCAACAATCTCACAATATGACTATTAGGATTTCCATGTCAAATTCTGAGAACACTTCCCAAGCTTTTAACAAAAAGTCCTCCGTGTTATTACCCTTGTGACACTGTTACGATTCCCATTACAGGTATGGGATTCGAAAATATGGGCTTTCAATGTATGATTTACCTAGACTTCTCTCTTCAACTTCAACAGTTAGCTTTTAAGGTATGGCTTTCTTAAGATCTATATCAGACACCACCCAACATGCATAAGAGCTCGAGAACCGAACTCCTTAATAGCTTCAAACAGCACAAGCCATAAGTGCATGCAGGACACATCATCTTGTCGACATCTAAAACAAAGACTCAGGATTTGTAACTAATCTCCATCACCGTTTAACAACTAAAGCTTTGTTAAACTATTATGATTCTCGAATCCACTCAATAGTATAGGTTGGCATTGACTGCGCCACGCTTTGACGAGAATCTTTTTTCCTCCTGTGGACTGAGCAAATCCCTTGGTTTTTCTTACTCTTCTATATATCCTCCATTTCATAGCTATAGCCCATAAATCATTGATTGATGATTCAGGGATCTTAAGCCTCACAATCATTTGATGGATCATATCGGTCTGGAACCTGTTATGAGTTCTGCATTCAACTTTGCCTCTTGCTTAACTGACAAATCATACATCCACTAATTAACCTCTCAAAATTTTCGATATAAAAGTAATATTATTCAACACCACTGGTGTCAAGCATCAATCTAAGTGACAACTGCATAATATTAAATGATATGTTTACTTAAATGACAATGTCAAATCCTTCCTTTGATGATATCACCGAGTCCAATCTCTAAAGAAACTGATCCACAAGCAGAATCACCTGTCCGTGTTACAAATTATCTTACGGTTTAGGAATGACATGCAGATGTTCCATACTTTGGTTCAATTGCTTCCCTCAAGCATTTCTTAATCATGTTTTCAGACATGTTCATTCTTCTCTACTTAGAAAACAAATTCAAACATAAATCAATACAAGCTAAATCCGAAAAATTGGCTAATCAATAAGGCAAGCCCTAAAGCAATCGCCACAAGGGAAGATGCCCAGGTGAGCTTCTCAGTTATTCTGGGAACCCTATCCTTGAGTGCCTGACTACACGAGCCTATAAAGACAGTATAGCTTCCCATAGCAATAACTGTCCCAACCAAGAACATACCCAAAAATGCAGCACCAGCCATGCGTGAAGGCAATGCAAGTGCAGGTAAGATCATCATCAGAGCATCAGGTTGCAATCCATGGACAATCCCTGTGGCAAAAGTTGCAAATCCAATCTTCTTCTTTCCAATCGTCGATGGATTCTCAAGGGCTTCATACACGCTAACATCACCTTCGCTATTTTCTAAGGCAACACACGGGGCAGGGACTTCTGAAGCTTCCTTGATTCCCATGGCACCAATTACAAGCAGAGTAAAACCAACGACTCTTGTTCCCCATGTTCTAATAATTTCAATGTGAAGTTGATCCTTCAAAAGCAAAAATATTAAGCCAAATATCACCTGTCCAGCATCATGGCCACATCCCCAGAGGGCCCCAACTACGGCACTTTCCATCCTTGTACGGCCTATTGAGAGTGGAGCTAATGCAGCAAGGTGATCCGGACCAGATAACGTGTGTAAACAACCTGCCAAGAAGCCAGTCCATGCACTGCTAAGTAATTCACTATGAAAGCGTTGCGTTCCAGCTGTAGCCACAGCTGGACCCCCATTGCTTGCTGAACTTTGGAAACTAGCAAAAGCTGGTGCCACCACAACTGGGTGAGCTAACATAAGAAAGATTGCAGAGAACAATATTACTGTCCCAGAAGTAAGCCCCTGAAAAATATTAGGAAAATGGTCAAAAATAAAAATGTGTAGGACTAAAAATTACCATGCCTGTTTATTATCATTATCCTCAGATATTCGATGATTAACTGTTGATCCACATGGCAAATGCACGTGCATATATGAGTAACTTAATACAAGGATCAGTGTTACCTTATCTCATATTTACGTCTTCCTAATTTTCCGTAGGATGTTCTCTCTTTTTGTAGCTCATTCAGTATTAGTGTTTGATTGTTGCAACCAACCCCCACATCAATAAAACATCAAGGTACAACTAATAAAAGTAATACTTCTATTAAAGCATATCCTGTATCACCAGAACTCACCAACAAAGCATACATGATGTCATTATATTCGAGAGAAGCAAAATAATTTAAAATCTATCAGCAGCTTTCTACATTTGGAAAACATCTAGATTATACAGAATTCTCTATGTGATATCATGAAATGACAAAATGGTAAAAAACAATGACAAAAGGTTAAAAGCCTATTCCCGTGAACTTGTGGTCAACTACATGAATATTTTCGCTACTCTATTAAATCCAACATTAATAATGCCAAATCTTTTACAACTACATCATATGTCAATTCTGGTCAACCTACGAACCATCCTAACATATTTTACACAGTTTAAATAACTATAGTGAATGGAAGTTTCTCTAGATCTACACTAGTCTCTAGAAGTGTCCCAACTCCCAACAATTTAAGCTGCCTTCCCCTTAATTTGTTGCCTGTTATTTCACCTTGATTTTATTTTATCCATTCTAGTAAGGACGCATATCTGACCTAACATCCTCATTCTTCCATTCATCTAATGGACATTTTTGTCCTTGAGAGACCCCTCACTGACTCTATAAAGCACAGCTGGTCTCATAACCCATTCTTTAAAACTAGTCTCTTAACTTGGTAATATGTACATCCTAATATTTCTCCATTTTGTTTACATGATCTATCATGATTCATACGTGTTGCACCAGCTTGGAATTGACCTTGTCAATATTAATAATAAAATCTAGATAACTGAAACAATCATTGTCTGGGACAACACGAATCTCTTTTGTGACACCAATATCAACTCTTTATTTCTAGAAATAGAGAGACATCCCCCCATCATTCCCAGAATAACAGACAGTCAGACATGCTACTATTTTTGCTTGGGCAACATATCCCTCTTTTCACAGTTTTAAATATTTTTTTAAGAAAAAGGATTTGTAGTGCCTAAATTAAAGTAATTGAATTCCCTCAAGCAACCAGTCAAATAGGATCATCCCACACACACAAACAAACATACACATGCACTCAAGTCACAGACACCCACACACATATAAGGGGCTGGGCAGGGGGCTAACGGAGATTTAGAGGATATTAGGGTACAGCTTTTATTTGGTTAAAATTGAAATTACACAAATTTATCCATCCCAACTAACCCGTGTTTTAAATCTAGTCTTTCAAACTTGGTAAATAAGTATAAATCCTAGTATTTATCCATTTCGTTTAACTCCTAGTATTTATTCATTTCGTTTATCTGTTCTATCATATGTATTGCACTGACTTTAAAACGGCCCTTGTCAATATTAATAGTCACATCTTGATAACTAAATCAATCACTGTCTGGGACAACACAATTTTTTTTTGTAACTCCAATATCAAATCTTCATTTCTAGAAAACATCAGAAAGGCATCCCCCCTTATTTCAAAAATCAAAGACACTACTGATTTTTGCTTGGGCATCATATCCCTCTTTTACAGTTATAAATCTTTTTCCAGAAAAAACAATTGAGTAGCGCCTAAACTACCTCAACTAAAAGTAATTAAATTCCCCCAATGAACCAGTTAAGTAGGAGCATCACAAACATACACAAACAAGCATACATATATGCACTCAAGTCACACGGATGCACACACATATAAGTGGCTGGGTAGGGGGTGGGGATTTAAAGATTTTCTTTTTTTTACCAGGATTGTATAGGTACAGCGTGTTTTTTTTTTTAATTACTATAAAGATGGTTAAAATTTGTAAAAGTCTGTTGTGTAAAACAAATTATGCGTCCCAACTAACACATTCTTTAGAAATAGTCTTTTTAACTTGGTAAATAAGTATACTTCCTTCTAGTAATTCTCCATTTCGTTTACATGTTCTATCATATGCATTTAACTGACTTTGAAGACGTGTTCATCAATGTTAATAATTGAATCTAGATAACTAAAGCAATCACTGTCTGGGACAACACATATCTCTTTTGTGACTCCAATATCAAATCTTAATTTCTAGAAAAATTAGAGATACGTCCTTCTCATTTTGAAAAATACAGAAACACTACTGATTTTTGCTTGGGCAACATATTCCTCTTTTCACAGTTTTAAATCTGTTTTCAGAAAAAAAAAAGTACTGCCTAAAATACACCAACTAAAAATAATTATATTACACCCAAGCAACCAATCAAATAGGAGCATCACAAACAAACATACATATATGTACTCAAGTTTCATGCATGCATATACAAGGGGCTGGTAGGGGGGCTAATGGGTATTTAAAGATTTTTTAGAGTTAAAAACTGTAAAAGTCTATTGTCTAAAACAAACTTCAAGGGACGTCTCTGTAATTTAGAAAAATGAGGGCGTTCTAGAAGTCAAATACCTCAAGGGTATATATGAAATTGACTCTTATTTCTACTGTAACTAAAAGGACATAACTTAATTTGGTATCTTCTGGTTCCTTATAATGCAATAATAAATATCGTCCCTCCTTAAGCCACAATATTCAGATTGTAAAGAGGAATCTTAATCCAGCTTCATTTCTCAACCATTTGTCCATTATTGACTGCCAAAAAGGACACAGGCAAATAGAGAAGCTAAGAGTCACTTGTTGCATTAGGAAAAATCATAGAACCTATCAAAGAAGCGCTCTCAGAGGAGTACAATATGTTGGATCATTTTATCAGAAGTTTTATAAGATCTGAATGGCTTTCACAGCCACCCATCCCATCTTCATTTCTTTCTTCACATAGATTCACTTTGTTGGGTCATGAAAATTTAGTCTTCGTCTCATTGGTTGATGAACTTATATTGCTATGGCAAATACTTACATTACAAATAAAAGTTGATGTGTTCACGAAAGCATTCCATCACATAATATTTAAGCCAATAACAACTGCAAAAAATCATAAATGAAAAATAAAGAATTTGATTGTTTTTCAGAAAACTAGATATTGCACATCTAAGAAAAATTATTCCATATACACTCCATACATTGAATGCACGAAAACTTCACAATAAACTAAGGCAGTACAGAATTGAAATTCCATGCCAAAACCATTGCACGAATTAAATTCGTCGGTAAACAATTGACTCATTCTATTGCAAAAATTTCCGTAAAGTTAATACCTTTTGTTGATCAGAAAATGTTTGAGCGATTCGTTTGAGGAAATGGGGTTTGGGGTGCGACGCATCAGTCAAATCCGCAGAAGAAGACAAATCCGCATAGGGTTTCGAGGAAACAGAAGCCGAATCATGGAGCTTACAGGTTACACGCAGTGACTGAAGGCGTGGCAGCGCGGGTAAAGAAAAAGAAGAAGAATGGAGTTTGAGTCGAGGGAGAAGGGAAGAATCATGGTGGAGGCGATGGTTGAGTTTAGAAGGAAAAGAAGTGGAATAGATAAGCCTCTCCATTTGGCAATTGGGACCCTCCTTTTTGGAGTATTTGTTTGAATCTGAATATACAGAGAAGAACGGGAGAGGGAAGGAGGCGGGGGAGTTGAGAGGAATGCAGCACTCCCCCAAATTGCAGAAACAATTTTGATCCGCGTTCACAAGTTTGTGCCCAAGTCATCAGTAATTTGGTGGAGGAGGGTAAACAATTTCGCAGGAGTGTGGTACTGTTTGTAATTTTGTGCCCAAAGTCATCAGTAATTTGGTAATGAGCCCTTTTTGATACACATTCTCGCGAAAATTCATTCTTTTAAAATTTATTTTCAACTATACATTTTTTAATGCTCTCAAAAAACTCAGGTAACGTTTTCTCTAGATTTTCTGTAGACCTAATTTGTCCTCTTGACTTCGTGTTTGTAGATGTTTTGTATTGGTGAAGGTTCTGCTCGTCCCGTTCGCCGATTTGATTGCTGATTTGAATCAGTCGCTGGCCATGTTTTCAGTTCGCAGTTTGGGCTTCGTGCTTCAGGGTTTGTCTGTTTGTGTGGGATATGTTTGGGGAAGGGAATGTTTCGACCGTGGGCTTTGGAAAATTGATCGAAATCTTTTCACCGGGCTTTTTCCGGCATCAGTTTCCCCTGTCCAGATATGGTCCTTGTAGTCTCTCTATCAAGCTCACTGCCGAACTGGGGTTGTAGCCAATGGTTGGAGTGGGATAGGGGCTTGTTTGGTTTCATTTTCTTTGTATGTTTTTTAGTCTTGTTTGACTTTGTGGTAGCTTATGCTTTGTCATAGGAAATCCTCCTTGTATACGCTTGCTACTTCGTTGCTTAATAAACTACATTTAAAAAAAAAAAAAAAACTATACATTCTTTAATAAAATAATAGTACACGCAAATCCAAAAAAAAATTATTTTTTAACTATATTTTTCATCACATCACGTTATAAATACATTTTCTTCTCCATAATGCGCGCAAAAAGTTCAATTTGTTGACAACATTGTTGAGTCGGGAACAGTTTAAAAAATAATCTATGTTTTCAATCAATTGTTTGCCACCTACATTGCTGTCAACAATTGTTAAAAAAAACATGGAAAATTTACGAAAATGTCTAATTTCATTATTGTCAATTAAAAATTGTCTAATTTTATTAGCTCTTACAAAACTTGTCTATTATACGCTTAATGAAAAATGAAACAATTTTTTTTTCAATTTGTCACGAATTTCGAAAAAAAAAGAAGTAAAATGATTTAGACCATATTTATCTTGATATTTCATTTGTCTAAAAGGAGATTTAACTTCGGACGAGAGTTCTCTACATTTTATAAAGTTGTTGACATTTGAAATGTAGCTTTCGATATTTAATACATGTTTCAATGAGAAATATGGCATTTATTGTGATTTGACATGTGTACTTTTAAAATAAGTAGGGTACATTATATGTCAAAATTTTATTGGCCAACAAATTTTTTAATTGTATGCACATTTTTGTCTTTAGTATGGAATTATAAATTGTTAACAATAGTATTTGGTCTAAAATATTGCAGAATGGACATTGACAAAAAATTTGAACATTTTTATATATGACCATGTGAAAGTTGACATTTCTTGTAATTTTCTCAAAAAACATTATACAAATAGCATTGTCCAAAAAAGTTTTAACAGTTTTCACATTAAAAAAAAAAAAAACAGATAGAAAAAAGGAAAACATGAATTATGTCAACTGTGCTATATGTATATAATGACTTACATGCACATGATGTGATGAGGTATGATTAAATTAAAAAATTTCAATAAAAATAAAAATAAAAATTCTCCACTCTTTTTGACGCTCCATTTACATGTAAATCATTATGTAAGTTAATTATATACAAGTAGCATAATTCTTATGCCAAACTATTTTTCCATTGAATAATGCTATTTGGAGCTACCTAATGATTTACATATGATAAGGTCTCAAAAGGGGAGCGTCTCAAAAGGGGAGCGGGAAATTTTTGTTTTTTCATTCGGTTGAAGCAATTAAGACTCAATCACATCTTACAAGATGGTGTGTAAATAAAGACAACTGTTTTCCATATTCCATGAAATTGTTTCCTTTCTTTTTTTTTTTTGTTACCTTTCAAACATTCTATATACGTGTACGTATAGCAAATTCGTATTTTAACAATCATGCTACATGAATATGAATTTTTTGCCAAATAATTTGACAGATTACTAGTTGGCACGATTTCATTGAATGTTGGACAAAAAAATAACTTCAAATCAATCAATCCAGCGTTAGCACCTCATGATCCGAAAAAATTATTATAAATGTGGCATGTACAATGAGCTTAATTGTTATTTTAATTGCTATATTTGAAATTTTCCACACAAAAAATTTCAGAAAAGAGCAAATTACACCATATACCTATTTAAAAACAATTATCCAAAATTTACGAGTCAATAATATATTTAAATATAATAGTATAATTAAAAATCTTCAAATCACTTAACTCCTTGCTATCCTTCAATTAATTAACGGGTCTTATTCAATCGGCAATTAAATCTCAATTAATTATATATCAAATTCTCAAATTAAATCCACCTCGAATAATCTCACGAGACCCTGAAATTTACGATCAAGTACTCACTCAGTGAATTCATCATTTTTTAATACCCTTTGCAGCAACTTTTCTCATTTTCTTCGACTACATGAACAGAAGAACGCCATCCGGCTTTCCACTGTAAGTGATGCTGGTGTTCTCTACACTATATTCACGACTCGATCAGTTTAGGAAAAGATGGGACAAATACCCAGAAAAAGACCCAGCCCACTGAACTGCCCAACGGCCCAAATCAATCCCTAATTCTTTTCCAAGTCCCACCCATCCCAAACCCGTCGATTCGATCCCCAGTCCTTTCTCCACCGCTTCGCCTGTTGTGTCGCCGGAGAAGTGTGATAACCGACGACAGAGCAGCCGGAGAACATTGCCTTCAAAACCGCTTGAGAACATCATTCTCCATTCCGCCTGTAGTTTACCAAGTATTCTTTTATTCTCGTTTTTCTTTTTTGTCCTAATTCTTCTCTCACTCCTTTACTTGTCTTTCCGCAATATTGAATATGAATCGAGGCTGTTATATTTTGTTCCCTGTTAGGATTTGCGTTTTATTAGATGCTGTTTGTAGGTATATATGGCGTTTGAGTTGATTTGTGCTATTGCCTATTGTTAAATTGAATTCGGTTGTTTTTGTTGGAAGTTTCAAACTTTTGGAGTTTATTATTATTGCTACACGAGAGTTCAATTGTTAATTTTTAATATGTATAGGGGATGTCATGTAATGTTAGATATATTTGGGAAAATATATACACACGCTTGTGTTCTGATAATAATAAAGATGATGCATATAAGTTGGGGATCTGCTTCTTGTTTTTGGAAAGGAAGAAAGAAAATGGTTAAGAAAGTGGAGATATTTGGTGAGTGGGTGGGTAGGGGTATGTTGAACTGTATTCTACTCCAATAGGGATAGGGTTAGATGCTTAAAGAGAAAAGCTGCTGTTTGCTGACTAGTGAGGTACACAGAGAGGGAAAAATGCAAGGGGAATTAGAAAAAGAAGGAAAGCGAAGTTGACAATGATGAGTGATGAGAAGAGGATCAAACGGCATAAATGAGTAAATCAGACTATCAGAGAAATGATTTGATTGTTGTAATTAAGAATTCACCTGCTCCAAGGTTTGATAATACTCCCTCGTGTTGCTTAGTTTGTCAAATTCTCTAATTATGCATGTCATGAATCAAAAGTGAAACAAATATTTTGTGATTGGCAATATGTCCCTCTCGTGATTTATTGATGCCTTGAAAAATGTTTGTTTAGCTTGAGTTTGAAAATTTTGGTTTTATTGATTCTGTTGACTTAAGATCTTTGTGTGAAAATACTCAACTCAGAGGTATTACCATCGGACATTTTTGGTACTTTTTGTTGTTTTTTTCATTTTTTGTTTTCAAGTTAAATGTATTGTGTTAAATATGCATATTGAAGGGTAAGGCTCACCGGTTAAATCACACTCCCCCTTCTTCAGTTTCCCTATATTTTCTTTGATTAGGGGTTTTCCTTGGCTCGCTCATTTATTTTTCTATTTGTTTGATGCAGAACGGGAATTAAATTATTGTAAATATGGCATTTTGGAGTAGACTGAGGCGAATGCAACCTATATTTCTTTCTACCCAAATCAGGAGATCCTACTTTCGAATTCATGGTCCAATTGCTGTTGATAATCTTACTTCACGTACTGGCATTCCGATTGCTAACAACTCGAATTCGATCTTAAATAATGTTCAATTGCAGGTTGCCAACAATGTCAGATTCTTTGCAGCTCCCGTTCAGGTAAAGATATGCAGTGTCTGTGTAATTTGAAGCTGTGTACGTTTATATCTATATATTCATCAAAATAATTTTGTAATAATTCTCGTGGAGAATAAAATTGCATTTTTTTAATGCTATGTGTTTTAGGCTAAAGAGAAGAAGGAAGACAAGGACACCAGCGGGCCTAGATTGAATGAGCAAATCAAGGCCCAGTTCATTAGGCTTGTTACTGATGAAGGTGTGGCTTAAAAGATATTGGAATCTTTGTGATATTTATAATATAAAAGAAATTAGGTGTTGTATATTATAAAAATCCCAGCTTTCCGAATATCGGACTAAGTTTTTTGTGATATTGGTCCTATGGAAAGAGTATTTAGGATTAAAAAACTTAAGGATGTCTGCCTTTGCTTTTAGTCAATGAAGTAAACTCCAAAAATACCTTTTTTGATTGCCAAAGTAAACTTCAAGGCTGCATTTCATGGCTTGACATTTTGCCATTGGAAATAATTCCAATTAAATTTGTTAGTTTTTTCTGTGATTATTAATTCCAAAAGTCCAATGGAGTAAGTAGTTTTGAAAGTTCTCAAATTCAGTTTGTACTTAGTTTCTTAGTTATAATTAGTCTTATATGTTGCAATCCATTGCTTATACAAATGCCTTTTTTTTGGATGGTTCGTAT